CTGTTTAGCTGCGACCATTTTTCGCAAATGTCCAGATCATTTTGAATTATGACCCTGTCCTCCAAAGCAGTTGCAATCCCTCCCAGTTTGGTATCATCCGCAAACTTAATAAGCGTACTTTCTATGCCAATATCTAAGTCGTTAATGAAGATATTGAACAGAGCCGGTCCCAAAACAGACCCCTGTGGAACCCCACTTGTTATGCCTTTCCAGCAGGAGTGGGAACCATTAATAACTCTCTGAGTACGGTTATCCAGCCAGTTATGCACCCACCTTATAGTAGCCCCATCTAAATTATATTTGCCTAGTTTATCGATAAGAATATCATGCGAGACCGTATCAAATGCCTTACTAAAGTCTAGGTATACCACATCCACAGCTTCTCCCTTATCCACAAGACTCGTTATCCTATCGAAGAAAGCTATCAGATTGGTTTGACATGATTTGTTCTTTACAAATCCATGCTGGCTGTTCCCTATCACCTTACCACCTTCCAAGTGTTTGCAGATGTTATTGCCCCTGTGGGCAGTAGCTTTTGTGCCAGACTGCTCTGGGCTGCATAACCGGATCATAGCCTTGGTGGCCATCATGTGCGCTTGGTACAGGTGTGTTTTCCCCAGGAGTACCGAAACTGCACACGCTAGAGGGCTGAGTGGGTACCATGACCAGATGTGTACCATGAGTGCCAGGGGAGAGATGGGGTCCCTCCTCCTGCAGAACGGGCACTTGCATCATGGCAGCGAATCGTGGGTGTATATTGAACACGGGTGCAGAGCTACTGAGCTCGGGGCAGTGCTAGAGCGGGGGGCCCGCCAGGTAGCGTGCTCTGTGCAGGTATAGTGTGTAATGTCCTGGCTTTGTGGGTCTGTGGCTGAGAGTGCGATGCTGCCATCTAGTGGGCTGGGCCCACACCCAGGATAAGAGGCCTACTACTGCTACTACCAGCTGTGTGTCAGCTGGCGTGGCTGTTGAGTGGGAGAAGCAGAGTTATGGCTCAGCGTTGTGCGTGTGCATGACATTTACACAGTCTATCAGCAGCACAGGGGCTCCTTGCACTGCAGGCCCCAATTGGAGCTCTCACTGGACATGGGGTTGTTTATAATGCACACTGCATCCCAGTGTCCTTGCGGGCCCCCACCCCCACCAATGCTGAGCAAAGTGCTGACTGGGCTCAGAGACACCAAGCAAGGCGTGGTCCCTGGCCCAAGGTACTCGGCCTCTCACGAGACAGACAGCAATTCTCTGTGAGGTCCCTCAAGCTGGGCCTGCTGGCTGTTCCCAGCCCAGCTTTCGCTGGGAGAGAGAGCCGCTTTTGGCTCAGACATTTGCATACTTGGATGTGTTTGCTCATGCACTCCATAGTGCTGTGTTAGCTCCCTTCTCTCCGCTCTCTGGCACCCAGCAGCACCCAGTGACCCGAGCAGCAATATACAAATGCAGGAGCCCATCCTCCTGAAAACGTGAGCTCTGCTCCTGGATCTCTACCCTCCTGGCGCCCAGGGACACTCCTCTACTTTCCCTGTTCCACACCACGCCCAGCCAACAGGAACCAGCCTCCTCAGGTACTCCGGAAGGCATCTGCGTGCTAGCACATGGGTGGGTTTTCCTAGAGCGGTTCTGAGCGGCTGACGTCAGCCTTCGGCCCCTGCTAGGGTATCTGCACTTCAGAGGAGGGCTGTGCCTCTATCCCCATGTCTGTGGGATCCCCCTAATAGCTCAGAGCAGGCCCCGTGGTGCCAGGCACTGCACAGACACCCAGGGAGCCAGGGCCAGCCTTCTACTAATAAACTAGAACTGCCAGCCAGCCTGAGCTGCTCAGGGTCTTGTCCCCACCACAGCCACCAGAGGACCCCCCCCCCCCCAGCCCCAGCAGGTCACTAGGAGCAGGAAAGGCAGTGGAACCAGGGCCACATCTCGTGGGTTCAGTAAAGCACCACACACACCAGCAGTAGTGCAGCACAGCCCCCACCCCGGTTCACACTCACGTGGGCAGAGGTGAATGCTGAGATAAGCGTCCACGTGGGCAGTGCATGGAGGACCCGGGCGCTATCTCCCTTGTGTGGAAGGGCAGCCCTGCGGCTCCTGGACATGGGGACTCTTTATCTGGGTGACTCAGCTGGTGAGCACAGCCTGCTGGGCCGGCGCGGGTGCTGGCTGCTGTTTGGATTCCAGAGGGTGGGGCAGTTATTGGGGAAAAGACAGCAGGTGTAGGCGCTGATCTAGGGCCCTGCTTGGAGTGGGCCAGGAAGACCTGGTTGTGACTGGGAACATGGTGCCCTCAGCACCATGTGGGGTTTGGCAGCCGCCCTCTGCAGAGCTGGGGCAAAAACCAGCTGGCTCTGGCAAAGCCTGGAGACCAGGCCTCATAGTGCCACCCCCTCATCACTAACTCCCGCTGCCCTCCCAGCTCCCCCATGGCCCAGAGAGCAGGCCCCAGGCTGTCCCATGGCACTGCCCCAAGGAGAACCTGGCATTGCCCGGTCACTCCTGCTGCTCCGCCATGACCAAGAGAGCAGGCCCCAGGCCACCACAAGGAGAACCTGGCATTCCCCTGTCACTCGTGCAGTTCTGCCATGGCTCAGAGAGCCGCCCCCTAGCACTGCCCCCCACCAGCTG